TAATTTAGGGGTTTTCGAAGGAATATTAATCAAGATAACAAATTTTATTATTAGTTTAAGCAATTTTGGGTTTATGTTTTATTAGATAAGTTTGAATTAGTAGCAAATAACAAAGTTTAAATTTTTTAATAAAGAAGTTAACTTACTTACATATCATCAATAAATAATAATCAAAATTATCCATAGTGCACAAAGCTTGTAGAATATGAGGAAAAAGGAGTTCACAATTTTCTATTCGTCTAAACTTAAAAAATTGTTCAATAACTTGTTTTGCAGTAAGTCATGATGTCTGAAGCTAGGTTTACTTAGATTTACTTATACTTTTTATGGGTAGCCACTTTAATACCTACTTTGTCAGATTGCTAGAAGTCTGGTGATAAATAATTTATTGTAGTGATATTGTTCAATAGCTAGATTTGACCTATTATTTCTTTAAAATAGAATTATCAAATTATTGTATTGGTGCATGTACCTACTTAATAAATTTATTTATTTATTTATTTATTATCAGTGAGTTGTGACATGAGGCTTTATTTTAAAAAAGCGACTCATTGCCCTAGCCCTTCATCATCTCAGTCTCTACAAGAGCCATCACATACTCAAGATTCCCTTACAATAGTTAACTTGAATGCTCATTCAGCTGACCTGGGGAGCAACCAAAAATTAAAAGTTATCATCCAAATGATCGAATGAAGAAGAGCATATCTTCAAAAAGACTCATGTCAACTTCATAATCATACTTTTCAACAAGTTGAATTTAGGCAAAAGATGCATCGCTTTAATGTGGATTGATTTGATGAATTTCCATATTGTTGGAATATCGTCCAAAAGGAGAAGCCATTTTTTGTTTGTGTTGTTATTTGTTTCAATCTGAAATTAAAAGTCAAAGAGGGGTGAATTCTTTTATTAATTGAGGATGTACAAGTTGGAACAAGAACACCCGATTAGAAGCTCATGTTGAAAAATGTGGTAGTGCGCACAACTTTGCAGTTCAAAAATGTCAAAATTTAATGAAGCGCTCTCAATTTATTCAATCCGCTTTTGATAGGCAAATAAATCAAGCCAATAGTGAGTATAGAATTCGTTTGAATGTATATTGATTGTGTAAGATTCTTGTTAAGATAAGGGTTACTTTTTATAGCCATGATGAGCATGAAGATTCAAGAAATAGGAGAAATTATCTTAAACTTTTATAGTTTTATATAGATAGCAATGAGAAACTGGGTAGTGTTGTATCGTCTAATGCTTCTAGAAATCATCAAATGGTTGCCCCTTCTATTCAAAAAGTTATTGTACATGCTGCTACAAGAGAAACATGCAAGGCTATAATTGTAGAAATTGATGATAGTTACTTTGATATTTTAGTGGATGAATCAGCTGATGCGTCATACAAAAAGCAAATGGTTGTTGCTTTGCGTTATATTGATGAAAGAGGGTTTGTCATGGAGAGATTTACTAGAATTGTTCATGTAAAAGATACTTCAGCTATGTCCCTTAAAGCAGTGTTTGATCCTTTATCTGCAAAGCATGGATTGAGTTTATCAAGAATACATGGACACGGTTATGATGGAGCTAGTAATATGCAAGGGGAGTTTAATGGCTTGAAAACTTTAATTATGAAGAGAGTCTGCATATTGTGTTTGTCGCTTTGCTCATCAATTGCAACTAACACTCATAGTTGTTGCAAAAAATCATTTTGAAGTTAATGATTTTTTGATATGCTTGCTCATTTGTTGAATGTGATTGGAGGTTCTTGTAAATGTCGAGACAAAATTAGAAAGAATCAAGCGGAGCAAATTGCTGAATCATTACAAAATGATGAGCTTGAAATTGGCCAAAGGCTGAATCAAGAAATGGCTCTTAAAAGGCCCAGTGACACTCGTTGGGGTTCTCATTAGGAAATAATATTAAATTTGATAGCTATGTTCTCAACTATTCAAGTACTTGAAGATATTGAATGACATGGTACATGTCAACATCGTCTCTTGGGATTATTAATTTATTAGAAACATTTGATTTTGCTTTTTGCTTACATTTGATGTTCAAAATACTAAGGATCACAAATCAGTTAAATTGGGCATTGTAAAGGAAAGATCAAGATAGTGTAAATGTCATGGCGCTTGTTGAAGTGGCTAAGAAAATATTGCAACAAATGAGACAAAAAGGATGGGATGGGAACATCTCTTGAATGAAGTTCATTTATTTTGTAACAAGCGAGATACTTATTCCAAATATGGAAGATACATATCTTAGAGGGAGACAATGCAAAATTTTACAAGCCACCTATCTACATCGTTATCAAGTTAGCATATTCTATTCCGTGATAGACATGCAACTTTAAGAGCTGAATGGCCATTTTAATGAAGTAAGCCGTGGTTGCTTTTTTGTGTTGCTCGTTTGAGCCCTAATGACTCATTTAATTCTATTAATATGGAGAAATTGCTTAAAATGGTCGAATTCTATCCATGTGAATTTTCTAATGTTAAGATCTTGGCACTTAAGAATCAAATTGATAATTATAATGTTGATGTGCATGGAGATGCAAGGTTTGCTAATCTGAAGGGGTTAGGTGACCTTTAAAAGAAGATGTGGAGACTAAGAAGTATAAAGTGTATCCTTTGGTGTATTTGCTTTTAAAGATGACATTTATTCTACTCGTGGCTACGGCAGCCGTGGAAAGAGCTTGTTCTGCAATGAAGTTGATAAAAAAACTTGTGAGATAAAATGAGTCAAAATTGGCTCAATGATTGCTTAGTGACATATATTGAGAAAGATGTATTCGATATTGTTACTGACTATGCAGTCATGTACTCTTTTCAAAATATGAAATCTCGTTAGGAGAAATTATAAATTTTTTTAATGATTAATTATATAGTAACACCATTTTCTTGAAATCTTGGATCTGCCACTAGGTGAGGTTTTCGTAAGTTGTTATTAACTGAAACCGACCGACTACTTCATACTCTTCATGGACCCACAAATGCACCTACGAGGAGCGTTTTAAATATCGAATATCGGTGAAATATCAAACAACCAAATTCATACTAAATTACGTATATTAGGAGAATATCGAATATGTATAGTAAATATCGGAGTGTAATGTTAGAAGATGTGCAAACATATTGTCCTTAGGTGTTACTGTGTAATCTAAACATACTTAATGAAATGTAAACGTACCAAAATCTAAAACAATATACATTTCAAATCACTAACCAAATGCAGAAACTTACTTAGAGATAAGAGCATACTAGAATCTTGCTAAAAACTTCATAGGAATAAAATTTTTGCTAAAAAGATTAAAGATAGTTTTCACTATTGTAATTTTTTGTAACAAGCTACATAGAAGGATAAATCGGCCAAAATATGGGCCGATATATTGGCCATGTTAGGGATATATTATCCAAAAATTGCCAAATAGCGATAAAGGATATTTGAGACCATATCATGTTGCAGCAAGCCTTTAAAAGGATATATCAGCCGATATATCGGGCATATTTAAAACAATGCTCACGAGAAATCTTGGTTTAGACTTCAATTGTGAGTGCAACAAAGCCCTGACGAGAAGTCTTGTTTCTAAATTATTTTGCGGGCCCATAATGCCCTCATATGATATTGTTTCCAACTTACTGCTAAATGTAAACCAATTAATCTTTTATGAAGAATAAAGCCACTCATCTTCATCTCCAATTCCTCTTCTAGATTTCTCCAAATACTTAAACAAGGCCACCATAACTATTTCTCAACCATATGGTTCCCTCTCTTGTTCTTCAATCATTCATATTTTTTTAATCTCCCATCTATTTTCTATTCATACATTTGCAATGTTAGGAACATATTTGCTTTATTGGTTTCACTATTCATATCCTTTATTGTTGCTTTGTGTTTAGGGGCATTTGACTACTGAAAGAACCGATCGAAACCAAAATAACGTGGTCCAATTCCAATTTGGTTCGATTGAAATCGGTGAAAACTGAGCATTTGCTCACCCTAGCTGAAACAAGCCCAACCTAAACCTAGCCAGCTCCAATAAATATGTATGAAGGTTAGGATATACATCAAAGAAGTGTAAGACAAGTGTATTAAATTGAAAATTGTGTTATATAATATGGATATGAAGGTAGGATATATCATATAATTGAGTAGATGTTTGAATAAATGTAGCCATATATCCAATGAGTGTCCATGAAGTGGGATACGGTACATGTTGAGTATGAGTACGGATTCATGATAGAAGTATCCGGATAACATAGGTTTTAACACTATTTGTTCCTAAACCTAGTCACTTCCAAAATCACTCTTGGACCAATATACTCCACTACATTATTTTTAAATCCATTTCGTATTTCAACGATTTGATATGCAATATAAGTAGTATTTTATTGTAAATTCGCTATAGTTTATTCTAAGTGGCTAAATAGACACTGCATTTTTGAAACAAATATTGTTTAAGCCATTATTTTTTTACTACTTTTCACACTAGTGCCGCAGCATCGCGCGGGTCAATTTTGATCGTTGTTTACTGATTTCTAAGATTAGTCATGGACCAAAGAAATACCTGAATGGTAGTATGCGCAAATATTTTTTGTTTACTTTTCC